GAAATGGGCAAATATCTTTCACTTATTATAAATGAAAAAGCAATATGTAAGCTTATTAATTACATCATTGCCAAACATTTAATACATTCAAAGAGGTTGAACGCTTAAACTGAGCAATAAAAGTGATAACAATATGATTTTAATATGTTGGTCAGTTTTCAAGAAACGCTTCCCTGAAAGGAAAGCATTTATTCCTTGGCAGAACATACAGAACAAAAAAAATTACAATGAAACTCGCGGAAGCTTTAGTCTAAGCTTATATATATCTCAAATATCAGATATTCAGCTCATTTTCGCTTTCTTTTAGAGATATTGTACCAATTTTAGTCATAGCAATAATAAATACCACATGAAAGTAAAAATAATTCGAAAGTTTTCTCGTCGGAAATGCATTTCTCGGGCATTCTTTCCTAATTTGTTTATTCGGGAACCGCTACCTGTTGTAAACAACACTATGCAAACATGAATGAAACGAGACTGAAAGATCTGAATAATCGCAGCTTACCGTGATTGCAAGAAGACGGACCACACATTGTCGTAGATTTGACACCAATATCTCTTTTTTCCCTCCTTTTCTCTTCACATCCTTCCCAAATGCGATGAACAACATTGTCACATTTCGCTTTGAAAGATTCACACCATTCCGTTTGTCGAAGTCCATCAATCAAATGTGTTGTCCATTTTTGCATGTTAATTTCTTTCAAAGGGATTTTTGTTAACTCGGCGACTTGTTCTTCGGTTAAACGGTGAACAATTTCCTCTAAAGCTTGTTGTAAGGAGCAGCATAACGTAGAAATAAATGGAAATGTCCACCTCGCTTCTTCGCGAGTTTGTTCCACGCTGAAAACAAACAACTTGATCAATTGCTCGTCGTTCAAACATGGTACTTCAGTACAATCACAGCTATCGTTCCAAGGCGTCAAAGGGCTGTGAAAGAACTTGTAAAAATTCGCTTCCACGACTTCAAAAGCTAGTTTCGTCGCCGTGTCATCTCTCAATCGGAATTCAAATCCAATGTATTTCGTTTTGGGTTTGTTGTCGAAGAAGAAAGCACAAGGTTTTCGAACCCAATTTGACGGCGAAGTTTGAATCGAAAAATCGCACCGTCGACAAGTTATGAATGTGTACCCTTGAAACAGGACAGAAAAGGCCAAAACTTTCCCAATCGACTCCATAGTCATTCCAAAGTATCCATACCACATGCACACAAATGAAACGGAAAGCAACCCGATCGAATTCGGAGAGCGATAACACTCAATTTGCACATGGCTGTCTCGCGCTAAAATTCAAATTGTCAAAATGTCAAGTCATGTCAAGCGTGACTTACACGCCACACGCGCGGGGCTGTTGGGAATTAATAATCACTTTTAAAACAACCAGCTATTAAAAAACTTGTACTAGAACTGGAGTGTAATCCTGTTGTCACCTCTTTAACAGCTTGTTAGCCGAACACTCGAACAAACTCTCGTGTAGTGAGTTTTCCATCACACATGAGGAAACATGATTTGTTTTTGCGATAGATTTGTAAATAAGCTTTTTTCTCACGCCACACCCAGCATAAACATACAAACTGCGCCATAATTGTCTGAGGTTTTGTTATGTTTCCATCAAAACTTGATAAAAGGTAAATCAGCGGGGGACTTGTTGTCAAAAAATTCGCTAATTAGAATTTGAAAGAAAGCTTTTCAGTGAAGCACAATTTAGAGTTGAGAAGCGGTTTTAATTTATAAGCTTTATTCTTTCAACTTTGTTTTTAGATTGTTTGTTTGCTTTTATGCTACATTTCCGATCCAACGTTCGACTTTTCATTCCGATCCAACAATTTTTCAGAAATAGTAACTCTCCAAGTCCCCTGGCATTTGCACTATTTACGAGGTCGAGATAAAAGAAACATTTTTACCTAAAAGTGTCTAGAGGGGTTATACTAGGTTGCGTTGCCGTAGAATCACAATGTTGACAATGCTAAGCAAATGAAGGAGAGACAAGGTATTAGTAGAAAAATAAGTTGTTGAGCAGTCTACAGTGCACGTTTTCTCATAATCAGGGCTAGTTTATTTGGGGGGAGGGGGGAGGAAGGGGTGGTGAAAATAACTACCTTTTACCTTTGAGAGCCATCTTATCAGCGAAGTCGCTAAGTGACGTTTCAGATCCTGCGTGTTTTTTATAGATCGTTTTCACTGTAACGCAATAAAAAAATAAATCGAAAACCATCCAGTGGAAAAAGCTATGAAATTATGATGTTA